TTCTTTCTGGGCCAACCTGAGAGTTTTTGTTGCTGAAGCCTGGTGTTTTTATGGAAGATTTGCCAGTTAGAACAGATGAACCCAGACCTTTATATTTATTTTTTTCCTGAAAAACTAGACCCTCCATATTCAAAATTTATAACTATTCTTTCTTATGATTGCTATAGTACTAAAATGAATTGTCTCTTACTCTTAGCCTTCCTATGAATTGAAATTTACATTTGGTTATTCTTAATAATTTCCTTTTAGGGGCGTTGATTTTTTTTTTTTTTTTTTGAGACAGGGTCTCACAGTGTAGTTCAGGCTGGCTTTGAACTTGCAGCAATCCTCCTGCCTCAGCCTCCAAGTGTGCTGGAATTAACAGGCTTATGCCACCACGCCCAGCATTCTTAATAATTTAACATATTTTGTTTGTTTGTTCATTGAAACAGGGTCTCCCTATGTGGTTCAGGCTGGTTTTGAAATGTAGCCCAGGCTGGCCTCGGACTCACTGCAATCCTCCTGCCTCAGCATCCCAAGTGCTGGGATTATAGGCATGAACTGCCATACCTGTACCCACACCATGGTTATATAATTCAAATATTTGGTTTTTACAACTTCGGGGACTTTGGGTTAGGAGGAAAGGGCTAGTTAGAGTTGAATAGAGGAAGTATCTACTGAAGGTCCTCATCCTGATTTTTACTATTTGACAGCACAAGAAAGAAAGATGATTGTGTTAATCAGCTTTCTGTCACTAACAAGTACCCACAATAATCAGTTTATAATGAGAAAGGTTTATTTTGGCTTATAATTTTAGAGGTTCCAGTTCTTGGCTGGATGGACCCATGGCTTTCAGGCCTATGTTAAGGGTGTGGTGACAACGTGACAGGGTAGGGAAATGAAAGCAAGTAGGGGCCAGGGCCCCACCGTCCTTTTCAGGGATCTGACACCCCTTACCTAAGGACTGCACACCAGGCCCCTCCTCTTGAAGGCTCAGTGCCTCCCAGAATGGCCTCCCTGGGGAGCAGGAGGCACACGGGCCTTCAGGGGACATTTAGGATGCAAACTGGCAGCCACCTTGATTTTCTTATCTTCATATTATAAATAAGGTTTTTTTTAATTGGTAAATTTTTAAAAATTTGGTTGACATATAAATCTTCATTCTCAAAATTCCTTCCTTTCTAAACTACAGATAATGATTATGTTCTTTTATGGTTCCAGAAACTGTCAATTTCTTAATATCCTTACATCCCATCCCATTCCCTCTTTTTTTAAAAGCTTCAATCATTTCTGCTCTAGGAATTGGCAAAAATACCAAAAGTAAGTTATAATGGTAACCTCTTTGGATGATTATGTTTATCACTGACTTTTTTTTTCTTTTACTTACAGAGTGGGAAAAAAGGGTTTAACAATGTACCGAATAATAATTTGTATTGTGTAGGAGAATTACTTTGGATATTGACTCTTTTAATAAATTGAATATTAATACAGTATTCACTTGACTAGAAAATGCTTTATTTATGGAGGAATCAATTACTGAAAATTTATTTCCTACAAAACTTGATCTTATCAAGAAATAATAAAAAAAATTTTAAACTTGATCGTCAAATAAAATGTACTTAAGGAACCAGGTGCAGTGGCACATGCCTGTAATCCCAGCTACTCAGGAGGCTGAGTACCAATGCTAAATGAATGAATGACTCTTAATTTTTATATTAACCTTTTTTCTCTCTCCTACCCCCAATTTTACTTGGTTTCAGTCACTTTCAAAGTCTTTTGGAGTGTTGAAGAGTGTAACTCTCAGGGATGGCGAACATTTTAGAGCCTTCAGTGATACAAACAACCCACTGCAGTACACGTGCCATAGGTTCGCCATCACTGGCTAAGATTTCTTTTTGCGTGAGACCTTGTTAGAATTCTGTAAATCCATATTCTCTGTCTTCTGCCCTCATCTTGTTAGTTTCACTCTCTTACCAGCCTGTCTGTTCCATGAATTATCAAACAGCAGAATCCACGTGTCATCCTTTTGCATGTTGTGGCATGGAGACAGTAGGAGGACGAAGTCAGGAGTAGGTGGCTTTTCACCTGACCACATTTTAGTCTTATTTCCTTTGCCACCATCTTTGATTTCCTCCTGCCATGTACCAAAAAGGCAGCAAGCACTTCTTCTTTGCATCAATTCTGTTTATAGGCAGGAGGATACTTCACAACTGGAAGTGGATTACTGTTTCACAAATAAATAATCATGAATTTCAACATATATTATTAACATTTATAAATCTTAGTGGGCCTAGCTACTGTTGCCAAATAAGCACTTGCAGTTGCTTGATACATTGATAGATGACTTATTTCCCTGCCTTTTAACAGCTTATAGCCTTATTTAATAAGGAAGTGAGTAGAGTTGTAGAAATAAAAACTAGCTCTGAACTTGAGTTATATTACTAGAAGTAAATCCAATCTTATTTTTTATATAATCAAAGAATCCCTGGGGATTCGACTTTTTCATGTATTAGAATGTTTTGAACACTGAGATGTTTTTATTTTTTTTTAATTCTGATTCTTAAGAAATCCAAATTAGTACTGAGCTTCTCTTCCCTCAGAAACATCCCTACAGAAATCCATAATCTCACCCACAAACCCATATAAAGCTGTTCAACACCAGCTAAATTCTCTGCTTTTACCCTGGTTTACTTCATCTCCTTGGTCTACTCATTTCTTTTGTGGCACACCTAACCCTGACTACTTCACTCAGCCTAAAATACTCCACAAATACTTTTTATTTGTATCCTGTTCCTTCTTTTTCTTTCTATTTTCTTTCTTACTTCCCTTTCCTCAGAATTATTCAATGTACCAGTGATTAATTTGTGTGATACTCCTGCCCTAGTCATAACATTATTCGTGATTTTGCTAAAGTTTTGTCTTGAGTTCTTAGCCAGAGTTTTAGAAAGCATCAAGAAATGTTTGCATCTTTTTAAAACTAACTTATTCATTGCTCAGATTTCCTACTCAAAACCAAAAATATTTCCCTTATCTCTGCCCAAACCAAGCTAGTTCCCACAGCTTTTTATGCTTTATAAACAGGACTTATTCCAAGATCCAGTCTTTCTCAACTTCCTGCTGTTCCTAACCAAAGGCCCTTTCCCCTTCACTTCACCAGGATCTTCTGTACCAGCTTCTTGTCATGAAGCTCACCCGAGAGCTAGTGAGTGTGCAGCTTTGGAGTGGCCAGAGAAGTCCCACAAGGGCTTCTGTGTGCTGCTTCCCCAGTGATCAGTTGGTGGCCGCAAAGAGCCATTTCTGCTTGTAGGACTGTCACGAGGAGGCACTTCAGCTGTCAGTGTAAATACTTTGTTCTTCTCCCTGTTTCCTTCCATATACATTGCCTTTTGATGGCTGATAAAGTAGTGGTCCGGGTCAGATAGAACAACTAGCTTCATTCTGAACGGTTCCTTTATATACCATGAAAGAGAAAGAGAACGGCAAAGCAGAGAGTCCATGTATTAGGTAATTTTTTATGTATCAGAAAAGGAAAGATGTCATCTTTCGACTGGAATTAGAGGGAATTTATAGAGCCACAGGGATAGAATATGGATACTATCCCTAGCATATCAGAACTACTTGATAAATACTCATTCCATGAATAAGATACATATTTCTGTATTAGCAGAGGTGTATCTAGTGATATAGCAGCCAGGTCAGAGAGAGGAAAGTTTGGCAGCAAATATCCTACTTGTGATTGCTTTCTGTTCCATGAAAGGACATGGGAAATAGTATTTCTCCTGGAGTTGTTTGTATCATGACATATTATACTGGTACACTTTCAGGTGAGGTGCCAATGGCCTCATTTTTAAGCCGGGGGTCTGACAAAGTCAGATTTTGACTTTGATATCTAACAAGTCCCTCTGTTATCCATCCTCATTTCGAAAAATGTGTTATTATGCTGCATTTATTTAGCACTTCGCATTTGCAAAATTCTACGCCTGTGTTATTCTCTACTAAAAATCCACTTACTTATCACCCTTTTTAGAATGGCAGGCAAGAATACCAGAAGGTCTAAGGACTGGATATAGAACTCAGAGAAAACTACTTGCAAACTGTTTTTTTTCTTCTTTCTTTCTTTCAAATTCTCTTTGGAAATAGGCAGACTTTAAATTATGAAGGAGGGAACAGATACAAATTGTGGCTCTTCTTCTTATAAAATTGATTAATTCTGGGTCTGGAAAGGGACCCAAGGAAGTTATTTACATAAAATGTGCTTAAATTGGCTGGCAAACTCTGGGGAGTTGACTACAAAGGGGACGTTTGGGAGTTTTTAGGGTGTTAGAACTCTTCTGGTGTCTTGAATGTAGTAGCAACTATCTATACAAGTGGATGCATTTGCCAAAACATACAGCATTATAAACTGAAAAGTATGAATTTCATTGTACATTATAACTGTTAACCTAACTATTAAAAACAAGTATATTGGAAATTTTAAAGAAAGACGTTTTCATCTGCATTGTGAGGTAGATAGATAGTAAATTCTTCGGAAATATTCAAACCCAGACAGTGATCTTAGGTGGGGGCGGGGGAAGGTCCTTGCACTAGTGCATTTATTGACTGCAGGCTCTAAATATGTTTATTGAAAATTAAATTTAAATTAACTCTTTAAGAGTAAGAATTAGGGATCTCAAACAACAAAAATTTAATCTATAATACTGATGCTTTTTATTTTATTTGTGGTAGTGGGGACAACTAATAATTGTTCTGAGACTAATGATTCTGAAAACAGTTTCTAGCAGGATGAAAAAGAAAGTGGTTATCCTTTTAATTACGTTTTTAGAACACAAAAGTAGATAGCAGCAATTGAATTAGATTCTGGTTTAGTTATACAACACTCTCACTCTTTGTATCAAAGACGGATTCTTCTGATAATTACAAAATTTGTTTCATTGATAAGATTCCCAGTCCACGCTTGGAGCCAGCTGCATTGTCTTTTTGGCAACCTTTCTCTCTCCCCTCTCCCTTCTCCCCTCTACCAGGCTCTGGCTGCAGTTCCCATCTGGAAGCCAGTTGCCACAGGATACAGAACTCACTAGGGAAGAGGGGAAGCTGCATGAGTATGGGTAAGTGTGGTGGCTCTCATAATCAGATAAACAGCGTGGAAAGCTTGCTCGCTCATGTGGAAGAACCAGTGTGGCAGCTAAGTGGTGGGGTTGTTGGCATTTATACATGAGGCCTGATTAGCCTGGAGCATTTTCATTTGTGACACTAAAAGAGATAAAGGGCATTGTCACTTTTGCCATTCAACAGTAACAAAACCTTTAGTTGGATTACATTGAAGGACAGCTATCCCACTTTTTTTAATTAAATGATGAATTTGATTGCAAGTAGGCAATCTCTTATGACATTCATGCACTGTGTGATACCTTCTCTATTATCACAGTAAATCTCTGGTGTTTTTCTTTTCACTTGATCTCTTTTATGTGACCTTCCTTCCCTTTTCAGAAACCTCTACCCTACCCAAGACTTTCACTACCATTTCCTTTTGTAGTCTGTGACTCAGCTTCCTGCCTTCCTGATGACATCATTGTTGAATAAGCAGCAGTGCAGGCAAATGCCCTGAACTTCTCTGAGCATGGCCTGATTTCAGAAGACAGGAAGCTTCTCAGTTCCTGCCACTGGAGTAGCCTTGACTTGGCCTCCTAGGCAAGCTCTGTCTTCACCTGCAAACCTCCCTTCACACTAGGGACAGAGATCTCTCTCGCCATAGATACCAACTTGTAGAACCAGAGATAGCCCTTGAGAACATACTCTTCCCTCTCTCCTCTTTATGGCCCTCCTTCCTCTAAGAAAGTTTACCCACATTTTACAAGCTGGAACCTCACTGTCTCTTGCCTTCATGAACACAACACCATTGGGATTATTAGGGTTGTGTTTGTTTATCTTTTCCTTACACGGCTTGTCTGTCTTGGCAGCCTGCTGGCCTAGGCAATAATAAAGCTTCTGCTGAGGTGAGCAAACAGCTGATGGCGTGGGACTCCTACACAGAGGGGACTCCTACACAGAGAGGACTCCTACAGTGGCTGTCAGTAATCTGCCAGGCTGGTGGTTGGAACAGGCGAGAACAAAAGCTAGTCTGTTTGCAGGCAAATTGGGAGATCACTGTGTTGGTTGTGTCCCTCTCTCTTTGCCTTTCTCCTGGGAGAGTGCTCTGCTGGCCAGCAGTCCCAGAGAATCATCCAGGCAAGTCCCCGTCCCCTGGCCTTACCTGCCCCTCACATTACGGATGGGAATTCTGAAAAGGGCCCACATTTATCGATCTGAACTGCCTTCATTGACCGAGGGATTTTTCTTGTGCTCACTATTCAAAAGTGGGCTCTTACTTGCACAGTATTCTAACTTGTTTATGTTCTGTCTGGCTACTCACAGAAGTTGTGTACTAATTTCTCTTCTAACACTGATGAGGGCTTAGCAAAAGATCACTGCTGCCTGGCTGGAAAATGCAGGAATTCCACTTTGGGCAGCACATTTCGTAATATATGTATGTTTCCTAAAGTGATAAAATGTTGATAGTTGAAAATATCCTAGACATTTATTGTACATATGGATTGTTTAGACTTAGCAGAGGTCATACCAAGTAGCTGTACCTGATCCATCCTGGGGGAGGCAATGGACTTATTAAAACTCCTATCTCTGTGAGTCTATTGGCAAACCTCTCAAAGGGCTGCTGTGCGGGAATGATCATGTTAAATGTGTAAAGTCTTGAGTAGCTTTCACTTTAGGCTTCTAAGAAATAAAGTGTGAAAAAAGACTTTTCTGTTCTTCCGTGCATTGAAGTTAGCCTTAGAAAGTTTGCAAATGGCTTTAAATAAATTTTAATTTGAGCTTTAAAGGTCTGTAGCTAAGTTCTCCCTGTCCATCTTTGTTACTCTTCAGAGTCTAAACACGGCCTGCTGACCATGAATAAGAGAGAAACTGGGTATAGTCATAGTCATGGATGTGGTTTAAAGTCCATCAAGAGAAAAAATTAGAACTTCAGTGGTCATTGGAGACATCCTAAGGCAAGTTAGGTTTAAGTGAGAATTAAGTATAAAGTAATCTTGGGTAAAGGAGATAGTTGACATTGTTTAGTTTGTTTATTTTTAAAGTGAAGAATGGACTAATCATGATAACCACTACAACCAAACCTCTTTAGCATCTAGCAGTTCCTTTGGTCCTTTGCACTTACCATGCCCCATCTTTATTATTGTTAAATATGTTTATGTGTTTATTTGTAATAAAGCAATAAATGCCCCACAAAGGGAATTTATATAACATAGGTGTTAACAAAATGATCAGCACACGATAGTATTTAAGACATGTGTTGGTTGAAACTTTTTTTATTTTACTGTGGGCCAAGAATCATGTCAGGCACTGAGGAATCATGTGGAGCATCCCAGTCACTGCCCCACTTACCCAGGGAGTTTACAGCTAATGAGGAAGTGTCGCTGTCATTGAGGTAATACACTATTTCACTTGATGTTTCTCTTTTAAAAATAAATGTTGGCTGAGGGGATAGCTCAATAGCAATGTTTACCTAGCATGCATAAGACCCTGGACTCACTCCCCAGAACTGCAAAAACAGTTATTGTAAAATAAAATAGCTTCTCATTGGTCCTTACACTTCAAGTCTCAAATTTTCACATTCGCAAGGAGAGGAACCTAAGTAGCTCACCTATTGATTTGGAAATGGGAGAGAAAACTTGAAATACTAAGGCGCGTACTTATTTTCATTTCATGCAGATTTCATTAGATCTAGTGTCTAGTGTACCTATACAATGCCTTTATTTAATTTTGAAGAGGTTAATTCTGTACAGAACATTAGAGTGAAAGATTTTCCAGCCAAACCTGGAATATTTTTTAAAATGGAGCTGGCACAGTGGTGCTTACCCATGATCCCAGCTACTCAGGATCACAAGTTTGAGACCATCCTGAGCAACATAGCGAGACCCTGCCTCAAATTTTTCAGTGGGAAAATAAAAAGGGATGGGAATATAGCTCAGTGGTGGTGTGCCTCTGGGTTCAGTCACCAGTACTAAAGAGGGAAAGGGCTAGATGACCCTATACTTATAAAACACCTTCAAATCTTATTTTTCCCAAACCTCTCACCAGAGAACCAATAGGTAACCTAAATGAAGTACTGTTTCTCACTTCTTCTCCTTTCTCAGCTTTTGCTTTGGCACCTGTTCCAAAGGAAACTATCCCAATGGCAGATGGCAGGAAATAGCAGGTGACAGGTTGAATAATCAGCCTCTCAAAAACACTGGAATTAGCCTATATCCTCCACTCATGTATGGCACAGAATCCTTTACCTCCCAAGTTTTTGTCTTACCTTTTTCTTTTTAAGAGAAGAATTTGATTTTTAGGGGGTCCAGAAATGGGCCTGCTTCTTGATTATTAAAGAAAATATGTAGACTTCAGCTGACATGATATGACATATGAAGATCCATCCTAACCAAAACAGATATAATGAAGGACTACAGCACCCTCTGTACACATATCTTCCTCATAGCCCTCTTTCCACTCCAACTTAGTCTTTTGTCCGAGACCCTGAGGAACCAGGAGAAGAAGCTTCTACCCCAGCTGTTTGGAGTGTTTATAGATTTCCGGCAAGAGCAGCATCAGGAATTGTTTTGTGAGGATCTTTTTACTGTATAGTACTCATGTTGGGCTGTGTGGAACTTGCAGGACCATGTGTAGAGCTATGGGAGGCCTGGGGATGGACTGAAGGAGTAGAATGGAGCCGTGAAGAAGTTAATAGGATTCCAACTCCTATAGGACATGAGTACGAAGTTCTGCTCATCCTGAATTTTTTATCCTTTTCTTTTTTTTTTAATTAATTCAGTAAAGTGTCCTAGTCTTTCTTAAGTGCCACAGATATCAGTAATACCCAAAGCAGCCCTCTAGAATTACTATGCTATTCTGTATTTTTACCCTCATCTGTTTAAGAACTTCGAAAATATCGGCTTCAGATTTTCATCTCCCTTCTACTAAAATATGTATTTACGTAATGGCATGGTTAGTATTTTCCCCAAATAATTTTTCATAAATCTCCTTAAAACATGTTGAAGTGGGAAGTATTAAATAAGGAATAAAATTTTTATAATTTTCTTATTACTTTGCCTTCTCTTTTCATTCAGACTTAGCTGTTGACTTTCAAGCCTTGGTCTCTTTGACTATACACAGTAAATATCCAAGAGAAGGACCTGCTGATGGAAGATGTTTTGGCGCTGATGTTAAAAATAACACCAGTTTTCTCTCTTGTGCTTTGTTTAGATTTCGACACAGTCCCAACTGCTTGTACCTAAGAGACTGGACCATCCACACCTGGATTAGGCAGTGTCTAAAATATGGTGCACAAGACAAAGCCTTATATACCATTGTCAATAAGGTGAGTGGCTGTCTTGCTCATTTTCCTCATCACTGGAGCAAAATACCTGGCACCTCCAATTTAGAGAAGTTTATTTTGGATCACATTTCAGTATTCTCATTCCTTACATGGTCCAGGTAGGAGCAGCATGGTGGAAGGGGCTGGGCAGAGGAAAGCTCCTCATGTCAGTGACAGCCAGGGAGCAGAGGACAAAGGGAGGAGCTGGGCAGAGGACATATGCTTCCAAGTCACACCCCGTCTCCTAACAGCAGGTCAGCTATGCCATCCCATAATGCACTCACCCTCCCAAAGGCCCATCTCTGAGAGTAGGAGACTTTGAGGGAACCTCTAGTTATAAACTATAGTAGTAGCTTCCTGGCACGTTTCCTGAGCTTAGATGCTACAGTATTTTTACCTATTACCTTATAGAAAGGAATAGCACCAGCAATAACTTTTTAAAATGATTTGCCCTTGGACAGTCCTTTTCAGAATGAGGCTGGATATAAACTAATCAAATCAAGAATAAAAATTCCCAGTGCTAGCTGGGCGTGGTGGTGCACACCTGTAATCCCAGCATTCAGGAGGCTGAGACAGGAGGATCACCATGAGTTCCAGGCCAGCCTGGGCTACATAGTGAATTCAGGGCCAGCCTAAACTACAAAGTTGAAACCCTGCCTTTAAAAAAAAAAAAAAAAATTTTCTCAGAGCTGCTGCTTTTCTGAGCCTCAGGAAGGACAGGTGAAAGCGAAAGGTCATCCAGTCATAAGAACTCTGTACTTGTGCTCATTTCATTCTTGGTCCCTAATCCTTGAGCCTTGAAATTCTTGCATTGTTCCCTTTGATAAAGTCTGCAGGTGGGGAGAGATGACCACTTTTGCTGGAACAGGCTTTCCAGAATATTCAGACTTAGTTTTTTGAAAGACACTCTTCCTAGGTAATTCATCCTGGGTCTTTCAAGTCCCCTGACTCCTCCCTCAAGTCTAAGAGTTCCCTATGGTTAAGATGTTCTGTATGTCACGCTCCACCCAAGGGTCAAGTCTTCATTACCTTCATGTTGTGAAAGAAAGTACAAAATAAGCCAGAGTTTACAGTGTTATTATTGTGGGTCTCGACCTTGAAAGTTTGAACTCAAAAGGAACACTGATTTTGTTTTTGGGTCCTCTCCAAACAGGATGGTTCTCATTACCATGACTTGGGCCCAATTCAACTTAACATACATTGTACACAGGTTTATATGTTAGACATTGGATTGGTTATAGTGGTGGATACAAGAATGAGCAACAGCTACTTGCCCTCAGGAAATGGATAAGGTAATAAGGCAAAAAAACAAATTTGCTGATAAGTCAGTCTAATATTAACCAAATGTAAGTGCCATACAAGCACATCAGTAAAAGAGAAATCAAGAAGAGGAATCCAATTGGAGAGAATTGGAAGATATATGAGTTATCATTTAAGCTGGTCACCAAAAGATGCGTGCTTGAAAAATAATATGTTGCGTATATGGTATACTGGGGTGGAGGGCGGGGAGGGGTGTGGATGTGGGTCACTGAACGAGAGAGGGAATGAGACCAAGCCAATTGCTTAGGTAAGGATGGTCAAAGTGATGGCCTTGGATCTCAAAAGGGAAAGGGAAGGGCCCAATGGAAGACAAAGATTAAATCCAGCTCTATTCAGAGTATGAAACAGATTACACTCAAAGAAGACTCCTATGATAACAAAACAGGAAGAGCCTGTGAAGAAAAATAGAACAGAATCTATCATTTCTGCTGCTTCCATAGCCTTGATGGAGAGACCACTAGACAAAAGAGTCAAGAGCCAATATGCAACCTCCAGTTGCCCAGAATTTCAGGAAAATAATTTTCTCCATTTAAGTCTTAGTTTTTCAACTCTAATTTGAGTGGGTTGTACTAAACCAATGATTTCCAACTCTGGCTCCCCATTAGAGTCACCCAGAAAGCTTTCTAAAAACTATAGATGCTAATTTCTACCCCTGAGATTCTAAGATTCTAATTCATTTTATCTGCCTGGTACCCAAGTATTGCTATTATTGTTTCATTTTGCTATTTAATAAATTCTGGTTTTTAGATCAGTTTTAGATTCACAGCAAAATTGATCAGAAAGTAGAGATTTTCCCTTGCACCAGCACATACATAGCCTCCCCCATAATCAACATCCTACCCCTAGAGTGGCATATTTGTTAGAATTGGTGAATTGCATCACCCACAGTCAGTAGTTTACATTGGGGTTCATTTTTGATATTGTACATTTTATGAACATTTATGATGAAATGCTTAATGGCATAAATCCACCATTACAGTAACATACCAGATAATTTGCTCTAAAATAATGAAACATGCTATGCCTTTTCACCCTTCATAGGTATTTTTATTTTAAGCTCCCAATTGATTTTAATTTGTAGTGAGGATTGAGAATCATGGACCAGTTGATTTCTGAGGTTCTCTCTAGCTTTAATGATTTATCATCCTAAAATATTTTGAGTTTACCCAGCTCCCGGGGATTAGTGGTGATTTGGATTACTGCTTTGAGGAAATAATAAGCTCTGGCCCTGAGCTACAACCTTTTGAAGGGTGGCTTTTAAACATTTTTCCATTCAGCATACCTGAGGCATCCCATGCCTGCTGGTGACAGTGAGTCAGTTCCATAGTGACTCACAGTTGGGGTTAGGGCTGTATCTGAATCTCCCAAGGAAATGGGTATAGCTGAAGAAAATTCTTCAGATGCTTCTGATAGTTGGTGAGGGAAGAATAGAGCAGTGTGGGACAGATATAGTGGTCAGTCCACTATGTGAAACAAAAATGTGCCACAATCCAGGACACTGGGAGTCAGGTTTGAGTGTGCATGAAAATCACATAAGAAATTCATTGAAACTTCAGGTTTCTGTGTTAAATTCCCAGAGATCTGATTGTGTGGTCCTGAGGCTTAAGACTCTTGTTCAGAAGCACTCCTCGAAAATTCTGAGGCAGGTCTAATGGTCCCCATTTATTCTTAGGATTCTAATCATAAAATTTCTATCTGAATTAAATTGTCAGATATTCAGCTGCTTGTAAGCATGATATCCTAAGAGATTGATTAATGGCAGATATTTGTTGGCATATTTCTGGGTCTTTAAAAGATAGGACATGCTGTATAATGAGTCCTTTCTCTTGAGAATTCATTTTTGTGTTATTATTCATGCCTTTTAAAAAGAATCACTGAACTGGTTGGGATGTGGAGTTATTTGGTTTTTTTCTTTCTTTTGGTTTTAGCTGTTCTGTTGAGGTGTTAGAATTGAGCTTTACTTTTTACATATCAATTGTCTTGTATCAGACACCCACTCACAAGTTTCTCACCCTGACCAACAGTTCTAGTTACCAAATTGATGAGTCACAGCTCCTATTTCACTGTCACAGATGCTGTAAAATGATAGTCATACAGTTTAAGGCTAATGGTGGCAAGTTTTATCCTGAATAATACATAGGCATACATTACACCTTGAATTAAAGTGAATAAAAATTTTTCCCTTTGTTTTCATTTTTATTACAGGTTCAATATGGAATTTTTCCAGATAATTTTACATTCAATTTATTGCTGGATTTTTTCATAAAGAAAGAAAATTACAAAGGTAAGAAACCAATCCCAGATTCAGATATTTATTATAGGTCTTTCAGCTTCCAAAGGAAAATGTATAATGCAGATTTTTTCCCCTTTTTAAATTTCTCAGTGACTCCTCTTTACATCATTCCTTAAGTCAGAAAAGTTTTCATGAAAATTATTATCAGTTATGCAAAAAATGTTTAAGTCATATCCTTTGTACTGTTATTAGGATAGGAAATATAAAATATATAAATAACTATATGGGAAAAGTTCATTATATGGGCAATCTAATTTTACTTCCCAAACTGATTGAAATACAGAATATAAGTAAAGTATAAAGTAAATTTGATTTAGATTTCATGTGTAAGTTTGGATTCTAAATGAACATTTGGCAGAACTTAGATTTTTTTAAACCAGATTTTTTTTTTTTTGGTACCAGAGATCGACCTCGGGTCCTTGTGCTTTCGAGGCAAGCAGCGGAACCACTGAGCTAAATCCCCAGCCCCTTAAACCAGATTTTTAACCTTGTGTTTTTTAAAAATATTATTGGCTTATTTATTTATTTAAAAGAAAATCTTTTCCAGGTCCTTATTTTGCTAGATTTACTAGATCACTTCCTGGTCTGCCTAGCTGTCTCAGTTTCTCATTTGCATAAAAAATATACCTGTGGTCTCCTTCAGACCCATAACAGTAAGTGCAAAACCAGCTGGCTAGGAACAACTGCAGATCATCTTGACACTTTTATAATTTTGAATATTTACAAAATTAACAGAATTACTCAGTTGAAAACATTCATTGTATTTGTTACAGATGTGGGCTTTATGTTTTAAACCGATATTAACATTGTTTAACAAGAGAAAACCAGAGGACAGACATTATTTGAACTTGATTTTCTTAGCTTCTAGCTATGTTGTAGAATATCAAGGGAAATTAGGAACTTCTCAAGGCCTGTTCTCCTCTAACCATTTGTGTACAGACAAGTATATTACACGTTACAGGCGGGGCTTATAATTTATGAATGAGCATTTTTGTTTCCTTTCAAGTCTTTTAAACTGAACCTTATTATCCCTTTTTTACTCATCTGTTCTCTGTCATTGAAATAATGCTGAAGATTTAGGATTTCCTTTAACATTTGTCCTCTTTTGCCTCAACCGGGAGAAGGCACCAGAAGAGAGAATAGGGCAGACAGCTCAGCCCTGCCTCTGGGCCCTGTTTGTCAGGGACACTTGAAAATGATGTGCTTTCTTTCTGTAGGCCTTAGCTCACCTGGGTAATGGACATCATGACTTGAATTTGCTTCACAATTTACAAAAAATTTTCCATATGTATTATCTTATAGGATTATCCAAAAATCTCTTGAAATAGATAGGGCCAATAGTATTTTACTACTATGAAGATGATACTGGGAGCCAGGAAAGGGGAAGTGATTTATTTAATATCCTTGGGCACATTGATGTAATAGCACCTGATTTAGTACATTACAATACATTCAATAGAAACTGGAGGCTTAGGAAAGACCTACTTTGTAGAAAAACTAGGACCAGGACCCACATTTTTTGCTTCTTAATTCTGTTTATTTTTCTGCTGTGCTCCACTTTTGTAGTTAGAGATTTGGTGATGTTATCTACAACTAATTTCCGCTCATTTTCACTTTTATCTTCTTGCCAGATGCTTTGTCTGTGGTTTTTGAGATCATGATGCAAGAAGCATTTGAAGTACCTTCCACTCAGCTTCTTTCACTCTATGTTTTATACCACTGCCTGGCGAAGAAGACTGACTTAAGCGTAAGTAATCTGCCCTGAAGCAGTACTGAGAGCTTTAGGAAAGAGTGAGCAGTGGCTGCTGAGTTAGGCAGGAGGGTGGGGGCAGTTGCTCTCAGAATCTGAAAGAAGGTGTCCGATGTGCATCTCTGTGGCCATGCATACCCAGGAAGGAGTGTTCATTCTGTACATTCAGTTACTGATTTCCAAGAAACTGGGTGTTCTCCTTGACAGACTCTGAAGTCAAAACATTGTGCACATTTTGGGTTGGGTTTTTTGTTGTTGTGGTGGTTTGGTTTGGTTTTTTTGTTTTGGGGAGGTGTTTGTTTTGTTTTGCCATACTGGGGGTGGTACCCAGGACCTTTTCTTCCTTGGCAAGCACTGAACCAGTGAGCTACACCCCGGCTCCTTGTGCACATTCTGAAATTTGAGCTAGCCAAGTTTCAGACATCCAGAAATGAATCATTAATAATCTTTGAGAGCTCAGTGTGCATTGCATATCAAAGAAACAAATGGGCATCTAACTTTGACCATCACCTAGGGTATTCAATACTGATTATTTCATTTGTGTAAGTATTTTTGTAAGGTCATGATAGACCACTTGTGTTCTAGAAATCCAAAATGCCAAGTTTCAGTTTCTGCTCTTAAGTTAGGATGTTGAGTCATTGTTTATTTCTATCCTAAGAATGACAACAGTAATAACAATAATGACTGAGATTTAAATGTCGCTTACTTTACATCAGGCTGTTTTCTTGGTATTTTGAATGTTTTCATGGTAGGGATGGCTATTATGGTCAGACCAGTTTAGAGATTCCTACATAGTCTGAGCAAGAGATAATTGTGGCCTGACAACCAGAATGTACTCGAGTTAGAGTACATGCCAGACATATTTTGGAGGTAAATTCAAGATGATATTGCAGTTTTAGTTGCTTTTGAGAGTCAAGAGATTTCATAACAGATATTGGGGACTTAAAGGAAAGATAGGAGCTGAAGATATAATTTTGGAGATTAATTTATACATCCATTTGTAAATGTCTACAAATGAGCTAGAGAGCAAAAACAAGGAAAATCAACATTGTATACAAGTATCAAGTTATTTTACTGTACTTCATAAATATGTACAAATATGTCAATTAAAATAAGTAAAAAGGAAAATCAGGAATGTGTTGGACTACAAAATCCATGACAGAGAGGTCTTAGAGGGTAAGGTAAGGTGGGGAATAAAAAAATCCATTGAATTTAGAGCATAGAGGCTCTAAGTTGGAACCTTAGTTTCCGTAGAGTAGTGGAGCAGGAATCCAAATCGGAGTGGATTGAGGAGTGATTTAGAGGTACAGAAAGGAGACAGCGAGTATAGGTAACTCTTCTGAGATGTCTTGCTGTGAAGGGGAGTCACGAGAGGGAGAGTGCCGTATATTAATGGGAGAGCTTATGCATAAATTAGGAAAACCTTGAGGACAGTGGTGAAGTAACACCTGAGTACCCCTTTTTAGAGATGCTTTGGACCAGAAGCCTTTCAGATTTCAGGTTTTTTTCAGGTTTTGGAATATTTGCCTATATATAATGAGATATTTGCACATGCATAATCAGGTAGTGGGATGGGACTCAAGTCTAAACAGACTTCACTTGTGTTCCATATACATGTAGCTGGAAGGTAATTTTATAAATGTTTTTAATAATTTTATGTTTGAAACAGTTTCATGGTGTAGAATTTTTCACTCGTAATGTCATATCAGTGCTCAAAAAGTTCCATTTTTTTGCCTTTTAAATTTTGAGATTAGAGACCCTCAACCTATATCACTATCCCTGTCACTATCACCATACCTGCCTCATCCCTAGCACATCGAGGATAGTTGTTGTTTACATATTTTACTGTTTATTTGGCTTTCAGTCTACAGAAGAAAAAAATGTTTTCTATCTGCCATATTTATTATTTATTGGGCCCACTTTTCAAGCATTGTATGTGGAGAAAATCAAACTTCCCTAGGTTAAGAGAGATTTGCTTTTTAACATAAAATAGCCTAGTCCTTATTTATCAGCCCTTTTACTTATGTGTGCTGCCCAACAGGCTTGTTTTTCTCCCAGAGTATCTGCTCCCCCCCGCCACACACACACACCCAGAGGTTAAGGAAAACCTCGATCTGGTGCATGGATTGCACAAAGGCTATTCATAGTCAAGAGGTTTGGGTGCCTATTAATGCAACATTGCAGCCTACAAACCTTGTGTATTCTCTGCTTTCTCCCTGACCTCTGAGTGCAGGGCAGTCTGAGCTTTCAGTTGTGTGTCTCAAGCCTGCAGCCCTGGCCAGTGTGTGTACTCCTGTGGCACCGCCGAGTTCCCAGCTCCCATTGTCTAGGAAGTTGCCAAGGCTGTCCTCGAGGCCCTGGGTTTCCAGGGAGGTACCTGTCATCGTCGCTGCTGTTACGCGCATGCAGCAGGCTTACCAGCACTTATGATTTTGCCCTTCTGACCCCCCATGTCTCAGAAGGCTTCAGTTTTATTGAAGTGTAATTTTGCACGTGGATTGAAAGAGATGATCTCTTCTGATTGTGATTTGTTTTTAAGAAGCATACATCTATCTGAAAGCAACTTAACAGTGATCTTTATTTTAACATTGTAAAAGAAAAGTCTGACCATTGTGACCTGTTCAGAATTCAAAAGCATCCTCCATTCTGCCATAGCAGTGTGAGGGAATGTGCTGCTGACTGTTGAATCTTCCTTGGTTGTCTCAAGTCAATGCGGATCCAGTGTCTACTCTTTAATTTTGTTTTGCTTTTAAAAGGAGCTCTTTCTCATTGCCAGAAATTTGGAAAATAATGAAAAATACAAAGAAGAAAACCAAAATTATTCATAAGTTCTCTGCCCAGAAATTTGTTAACATAGAAAATATTTGTTTTGTATTTGTCTTTAAATATAAATACCTTTATTTACAAAATTAGGATTGTAATTTTTATATAGCTGTGTTGTTTTGATATTTTTACTTAATACCATAGCAAGTTCATTTCCTCTGTGTTGTTACAAATCACTCGTTGCTTAGCTGGACCGTGATCTGGTGTATTCCTGTTGTAGCGTGAAGAGGAGAGGAAGTTTGGTGCATCCCTGTTACTTCTGGGCCTAAAACAGAAGAACTCAGTGGGTGTGAGTTCCCAGTTGTATGGCTGTGCCCTTCTTGGTAAGCTAAGAGATCCTTATATATATTGTTCTTCATGGATACATTAGTGCCATCTTCTATTTATTAATAAAATTACAATTCAGTTTAAACTTACTAGTGAAATTCCTTGACAACCTTCACTTTTAGACATAAAAATAGACCTCACAGTTATAACATAAGGCAGGTGGTTTTAAGACCATTATTAAAAGCCAAATCCACCACCGACAAGGAGAGAAATGGTTCTGCTGGCTGTAGATAATGTTTAGCGCATTCAACATGAGGAATGGGTAGAGAACAGAGAGCCAGCCACGAGAGTCTTTCCTAGCACTAACAGAGGTCTTCCTGTTTCTTTAGACCTGAAGTCCGGGAGGTAAGGAATTAAGAGTTAAAGTTGATCTTGTATCTTTGGTTTTATTTTCAGGGGAGGGAGGAAAAACTCAAAGAGCATAACTAATAGCACTTTGGGAGAAGCAGAGAGTGGCCCACAGCCCCAGTGTGACTGCAGGATGAAATGGGACAATGGCTTACCTGTGGGGCTCTGGTGGCACTGAGAGGTCAAGAGGAGCAGCTTCGGCCCCTGGGTTACATGCAATCTGGGCAAATAACATGCAGCCTAAATGTGTGTTAAATGTGTTCTGTTTCACAGAGACTTATTAAATGCATGTTATTTCATTAGTCTTCTGTGCTCTCTTACAAAGTTAGGCCTCTGGGAAAGCACCTTCTCTTGATAATTCATTGCTTCTCTTTGTTTTTTGAAACCGAAGTTATAGCAATCTGAGTGCTTTTGAAGTTGATCTTTGCTTACAAAATGTAATATGGCATTCTCGGATGCTGATTCAGTTATAAACTAACTGAGAACAAGGTTTTTCAGAATTTATTAGAGTAGCTGTTAAACTAACAAGAGTTGATGATTAAAAAATCATGTTTTCCTTATTTACCACCAACTTTTGATATTGATTTACATGTGTTTTCCTTTATGTTCAGATCAGCATTCAGGACTGCCATACTGCATGGACTACTGGGCTAGGAAAGTGTACTTTGCTTTTGTTTATGAACAGAGGCCCTGGCCCTTTGTGACTGGCAGCCAACAGATCAAATGCTCTTTGCTGTCATTGTGTCACACACTGTATGGCCTCACTCAACCCTGGTAGAAGCAGTGGCCCACAGTGACTGCCCTGTAACCCCAAGCACCTTAAAGGTCTAAAATTAGCTGTTGCCTGATGAGCTTTGTCTATTTGTATCCTACTGTAGCTTTCCCAAATCCTCCTTCCCAGGAAAGCTAAGTGAAGGTGCATTTAAGACCTGGCAACTCAAGGTGACTTTGGTCATTGGTGCAGAGCAGCTTTCTGCCACAGCATTCAATCAGCACTGTCCCTGCAGGAGCAGAGGACCCGCTGTCCACATCCCCAGCCTGAGCCCCAGTTTGGATGATTTGAGGCACCAAGGGAAACACTCACATCCTAAGATCCAGAAGGATTGCCGGGACTCTTACAAAGCTAAAGTAAAGGAAAGAGAAGGAAAATGAGATTTCTTTTTTCATAAAGAGCATAGACTGGTTGTTTTGGTGCCTTTTAAACAATGTCAAAGATTTCCTGGCAAGGGAAACTTGTCAGATATCAACAAAGTTTTCCTTGTAGCTAAGTTGTAGAATTTATTTTTCTGGGAAAGGTTTTAGTGTGAAACAAAAATAGTATTTCCATTGACTTCTATTTTAAAGGGAGCCCTTCATAGAGGCAGATATGGCATCCTCTCCAAATTTCCCACAGGCCGATCATTCAGGTAGCCTTACAAAAGTCTCTGCCAGCCCAAATGAAAAAGAGGAAAAATAAAGTCACACAAATTTGTATTATAAAATGTACATGGTGAGTTTTACTACTTTGGTATTTTTTGTTGTTGTTTTTTTCAATACAGTACTGGAAATTGAACCCAAGGCCTCTTTTTATTTTTTATTTTGGAAAGGGGTCTCATTTAGTTGTTAAATTGCCCAGGCTGGGCTTGAACTTGTGATCCTCCTGCCTCAGCCTCCCACAGTGCTGGGATTACAGGCCTGCACCACCACACCTGGCTAAATTTTGCCACATTCCTCATTTCTCTAAAATGTCACCAGGTCACTAAATGAAGATGAGGCTCCTGGTGCAGATTTGAAATGATCCTGTGTTTCTCTAATAGCCAGACCTGGTACCTTCAATCCTTAGTCTCAGATGTAGTGGAAAGACATGACTGAGCATTCTTCATTGTTCTTTCTGGCCACAGGAAAGGTGGAATTGCAGCACGGACTTCGGGCTGTGTACCATAACATGCCTCTCATGTGGAAACCAGGCTACCTTGACCGAGCCCTTCAAGTGATGGAGAAGGTGGCCTCCTCCCCAGAGGACTTAAAGCTGTGTAGAGAAGCGGTATGTCCCTCAGCCTTCATTTACCCAGGTTCAGCCATCTCTATTCCTCATGATAAGTTGAGTTTTGATTTGTTTTCAGAATGTTCAAACATATTATCTACTTTTGCAATTCTATCTTTCCCTATGTATTTTTATTTATTTATTTTGGGGGGTACTGGGGATCAAACTTGTGACTTTGTGCTTGCAAGGCAGGCAGTGGATTTCCCTCTGTGTTTTTAAATGGAAGTCTGTACTTTTTGTCATCCAACTCCACCCTCCCCCGACCCGCATTAGCGGGGAATCAAACTCAGGACCTTGCACTTGCCAGGCAGGTGTCGCACCACTGAGCTACATCCCTGGCCTGGATTTGTTTTCATTGTCTTTCTCCTATCCCTACTTTTTATATTTGTATAAAATAGGAACTTATCCAGTTGAGTAGGAATGAAAAAGCACATACTCAATCCTACTGACAAAAAAGCACTAGAAAATAAAATTAACCCACCCTCCCAAAAAATCTCAGTGGGAACTTAAGAGAGGATAAGATTTCATGTTAAATATTTTTGGCACTTCTGTACCCTTATGCAGTCCTGAGAAATTACACAGAAACTTTTTTCCCCTATAAAAGCTCTCAAGAAATGAATCTGGGGGTCAGGGATTTAGCTCAGTGGTTCCAGCCCCTGCCTCAAAAGCGCAAGGTCCTGAGTTTGATCCTCCAGTACCAAAAAAAAAAAATGAATCTGGGGACTGAGGGTGGTGATGCCATCTTACTTTCCTTCCATTAAGCCATTCCGTGGGGAGTATGAGATACTAAAATCTGAATTGGTGTTTCTTTCAAAGCTCTCGGGTGTTTGCTTTGCCCAGTCTCAAGCACTGTCCCCCCAGCAGCCTCAGAGTTCATCTCCCTGAGTCACTTAAGATCCTTGACACTATGAAGTCACTAGACTTAGCTTGGACTCGGAAATAACAGGTCCTACGCCCTGCAGGTAGCCAGTGTCTGTGCCTGGCCAAGCAGCTTTTCTACCCAGGGTGAGAATAGGACAGTGGCTGTCTCCTTGCCTGGGAGAAAGGTCACTGTGAAGCTCTTTACTTGTTTTGTCTGGACCCTGGTCTTTAAGGTTCAGCCCTTGCCTTTATTTCAGTCAGGAGAGATACAGGTCTGATGCCTGCACTGGCACCTCATACTAACACCTAGTGTTTTGTTACATTCTTTCCCAGACATGTATAACAAAACTCCCACATTTCTAAATATATATTTTAAGCCTGCTATAATCAGTGCTGTTGATTGAAGTCAAAAATCACACATAAATTCTTTGCTAAGTAAATATTCTTTCCAAATTTGTATTCTTTTTATTCTAATCTATGGGGATGTTATTCACATGTCAGCAGGAATGTGATATGTACCCAGTTTAGGTGTCATGTATTAGCAGTAGTAAAAGGCCTTGGTGTACTTTTTGGATATTTGCTTTGATGTGACATGGACAGGACTAGTCGATATCCAGCAGGTGTTTTTGCTGGTCTTATGTTGTTTCTATCTCTCCTCTGATGACTCGGCACTCCCTGGGCTAAGGGAGGTGTGCCCCAAGTAGAAGCAGAGGGGGAGAGGGATAAGACAAAAGGAAACTCTCTGTTTTTTAACTTACTTAGTATTTAAGTCACAGAAATCACCTCATTAAAAGTGAATTTCATGTATGTATTGCTGACCTTTGCTTGCAGCTTATGTGGATTAGGCTGATAATTTATAGATATACTGTGAGCTCAGATCTTTCTCTGATGGAGGCCCTCGCCTGTATCCAGCAGCTTTAGTGTACATTCAGCCTGGCTGTGGTCTGTGATGGTCTTTCTTTCCCTTTGTCCCAATCCCAAATTGACGCCAAGAAATATATGGAATGAGGAGGTCCTTGATCACCCATAAGCATAATTCTTGGGTTCCTACAAAGCTAATTAAAAGCAAACCTTGGATACCCTGTATTGATTTCATGCACACAAATAACCCTGACTGTGAGAGGGTTCCCTCTTTGTCCCGCTTGCTTTGTTCTGTGTTTCCTAACTTTTTTTTTTTAGTGGTACTGGGATCAAACCCAGGGTCTCATGCAAGCTAGGCAAGCACTGTGCCACTGAGCCACCTCCCCAGCTATTTCTTGCAATTTTATTACAGGAGAAAACTACTTATAGTTCTTTAGACCCCTTTTCCCCTTGCTCTCAGCTTCCCAGCCTCTCTTCACAATACTGTATGCTGTCAAGACCACACCATATGTAATTCCTGAGTCTTTCTGCTCCACAGCTCGATGTGCTGGACAGTGTACTGAAGACTCTGACTTCTCCAACTGAGGGGGCTTCAGAGAAACCTCCCCCAGAAGATGGAGACAACCTGGCCTCAGATAATGTGGTGGAGCGGCTAGACATAGAGGAACCAGAAGAGTCCAAGCTTCCCCAGTACCTGGAGCGCTTTCAGGTGAGCAGAAATTGAGTCTCTCTCAGCTGTGCATAAAACATGCTCCTCTACTGTGGTGATGGACAAGCAGTCTTCTCAGTGTTCATGCCTTGCTGTCACACACAAAGGGGCATTAAAAACTGAAATCAAAAATTACATTTTTATTGCTTCACATGGGAAGTGGTCTTAAAGGAAACCAATGAAATTTTTATGCTTCTTTTTGTACTTGAGCTAATCGTTCACAGTTTTGCTCAGCAAGGCAGCATGTCATTATCCCCTTATCAAGGATGGGTACCTGATAGATGGATAATAGCTTGCCTCCTCCTTGCTGTGACCTGGCTCCTGCCATGGGGTTACAGTGCCTGGTCCCCATATTGCACTGAGTGTGCTGGGTCAGAAACCCAGTTCCACATTACAGAGCCACATTTGAGCACATAAGAAGAGAGGCAGGCATCTTTTGTTGCTCGTTTTTGGCAGTTTTGTGCTGGTCACTGGGGCCATTAGAAATGTTCTCCTGTACCACGTGGCTGTGTAAACAGCCCTAAGCACAGGCTGTCTTTGGTAGCTTTCAACTCTGTACATCCCAAATGCCTGTGATCAGCAACAGGAAAAAGGAAGAGCGTTCAGTGTTTAAACTCTCGGCCTCCTCCTTGCCTTGCTTCTCATTCATTTAGTGCAGAGAGAAAAGTGCTGCCTCAGTGGGATTCTTCATAGAGAACAGAAGACTTTCTCACCTTTGCTAGCAGACATTTTATCGTTTTGTGACAGAAATATAAACTTTGTTAGATCATTACATTTAAATCTATTTAGTAATTATATTGAAACAGAGGTGAGAAACCTCTTTTCCTGTTGTATTTTAAGCAGTTGTTTCTCCCAGTTCTTCTGTAAGCTCATTGTTTAACCTTTTTCTAATTTGAAACTGAGAAAGGATAATTAATGTCCCCAAGGTACACAGACTTGGTAGTAAAACTAGGTTGAGAATTTTCATGCTAATCCTTTCCTCTTTGTCTTAACTTCGTAGGTTTATTTAGAAAGGCTTATTTTAAAAAAAAATTATTTAGCCCCACAGATTTTCATCATCACATTCACATGGACCTAGGTTGCTTCCCCAACTCCTAAAAATTATCACTTCTTTCTCTTACTTTGTATATATTTAATCTCACAGGATAGAAACCTGTGCCTGCATTAAGTTCTCAGGCCATGGAACCTTCATTTTTCACACTTACATGTTGCAGAAATCAGCAGAAGAGGCAAATGTTTACCACCTGTCACTGTTAGACACCCTTGCACTTCCTTTATCCTCACAAGCTCTGGATGGCAACTTCCTTGGGTCACATGATGCCAAGGCTAACACTTGCCTGTAAGTAACTGAACTGAGATTTGGACAAGTTTCCCAGTCAGAGCTGAGACCTTATTCTGAGACCCAGGCTGTCTCCTTGGCTCCGAACCATGTGGAGAATGGTATCAGAAATCATTTTTATGTTAATATCCTTTTCTTCCTATTGCTTGATTTGTACTAGTCTGAGATGTTGTTTGGGACCCACTGTATGACTGACACATCACACTAGACCTCCAGTTCGTACGTTGGAGCTCATGGACCTTGTCCACCTCCCACCCTCTTTAATACTAGAGCAGGCCCAGCTCTTGTGCCAGCGCATTGTCTTGTAGAACATGGGAATGTGCAGTATAAGCAGCAGTTGGGACCGTCAGTGGCTGTTCTGATGATCTACGTCTTGAAGCACTTAAGTAGGTTAACTTTTTTAATACTTTACTTCTTCAGGATACATCACTGACCAAACTAAGCTGCCACTGGGATGAAGCTTTAAGCAGGCAGGATGGAAAGGCTGCCTACAGGGGCCCACAGTAGATGGACGCTTCTAATAGTGCGGGTGCTCCTGGGACTTGTTTAGCATGCCATTAGTGAGAAATCCTTAAATGATTTCCATCTGTTGAAAGGACCACTGGCAGGGCAAACATTTAGCATGGTGATTTGAAGGAAAAGATAAGAACAGGCCAACTCCAGTTTATCAGATGTCTCTGCCATTTTGTTTGCATCCTAGAATTCTGGTGTGTGGAATTGGCTGCTTCGATTGGAATAGGTCAGTGTGGAAACATTCATGTGATACACCTGTGCCATCTTTGTGGTTTTAAAACAAGACAAGAAGTCCTAGCATATGGAGTTCCATTTACCATTTGTGAGTCAGTGGGGAGAAATCACATGTCAGCCATCTTAGGCAAACTTCTAAGCTGAGGAGAGAAATGACAGAAGGGAGCAGAGCCTGGATGAATAGCCATGTGACAGCGTCCCAACAAAGAACTTTTCCTGCAAGCAAAGTGGGCTGTTTTGCAAGTGACTAACTTGCTTCTCTTTTCTGCTCAACCCCCTCCCCCCTTTCTCTCTCCCTCTCCTCTTCTTTCTCCTTCTCTCTCCTTCATTTCCAACAGGTCTGTCAGTCTAAGCTGCAGGCTCTTGGCAGAGTTGAGTCAGAAAGCCTTTTGACTCTGACCACCCATCTTGTCAAGGAAAAGCTCCCCACGTGTGAGCCTGAGGACCTCGCTACCTATGAGCAAAAACTGCAGGAGTGGCACTTGGAGCTGGTGCAGTTGATGCAGAAGGAGCAGGAGCAAAGGGAGAAAGCGAAGCAGGAGTACCAGGCCCGGAAAGCATCTGAGGCAGCAGCCTAACATGCCCAGGCCAGGCCTGCACAAGGACCTCCCAAGGCCACTGCGGTGTTCAGAAGGGACAGGTGGAGCCTCAACCTCTTCTCTCTGGCTTTTCTTTAGACAGGCACATGTGGTCTAAAAGCCTCACTGTGCTACAGATCAAGATGCTGGGACTGCCCATCCAGATGCCAAGAAGGGATGGGGAGCTAGGCAAGTGGCAAGGGGTTGGATCGAAGCCACCAGCTAATTACCTTTACAGGGGACTCTTGAGGCTCCCAGCCACATGCTTGACATAGGAATCAACTGTGAGCATGGAAAGCTCCCAGCACCTGGTGAGAATGGCAGGAGAAGCACAGGCTTTTGAATGTTGTACCTGTCCCCAGCCCAGCCATGTAGGGCCCCAGGGAACTGCAGGTCTGACGCCCTGTGTCTCAGTCCCCTCACTAGTGAAGCCTCCCTGCCAGCTGGCCATAGTATTCCCACATTCCCACATCCTCCTTCCCACCATGGATTGCCCCTGTGATTCTGCTTGGGGGCAAGCCCACGACAAGAGCGACCTCAAGACCAGGACCCCACTGGATTTCAAATTTTCAGCAACCCCAGTGACATTGTTAGAATGTACAGGCTCCGGAGGAGAATTCTGGCTCCCGCTGTGAAACCCTCTTGCTATGGCTGCTTCATCATGTTGGGGTCACTTTTCCAGAGCATCATTGCTACTCCCTCCAGTGGCCTTTTGTGTACATATAGACACACACACACAACTTGTGAACACACCTTTCAGTGAAAGAAGTTGGTGAAAATGAGAGATGGGATTGAGCTTCAAATGCGTAGCTGATGTGAATAACTGTCAAACTGCCAGGAGGTGGGGAACTCCTTCCTGAGGTTTCCTTCTGGGAAAGGATCGGGGAGGCAGCTTTTGCTTGCCATGTAATGTTGCCTTTAAATACAGTGGTGTGCTTTTATTCAAGATTGTGCTTTTATCAAGAATCTGAGAAAATAAAGAACACACTGAAATAATCCCAGGATGTTTATCTTTAGGAGAAAGAGGGAGAAAGAATGAGTCTCACCACTGTTATCATTACTGTGATTCTGAACAACACATTTCTAACAATCACCACTCACATTTGTTGAGGACTTACTGTGTGTCAGCACCGTAAGCAGCCCCATGTTGTGAAGAAGGACATGAAGCAAAGTACCTCCCCTGCACTGGCTGCCTCTTCCCTGCCCGCCATCTGTCTGTACCTGCAGGCTGTGTCAGTGCTGACTCTGGCTTAGGCAGAGGGTCCTGACCAAGGTCATTGCTGACATTTTGGTTTATCAAGAGCAGGGTTATGACCACATGAGGCTATAGGAGGACATCTAGAAATGTCATAACAGTCCCCCTGTGACCCTATTACATTTTATTCCAAGTCCTCAACAAAAGAGGCCCTTTTGCCACTGTGTCTCTGCCTCAACAGGTGCTTACCTGACCCCACTGCTCAGATTCCTTCCACACTTGTGCCACCATCGCTCTCAGCAACTCTTGGAGTATTTCTCCTCCAGTTCTGTTACCCTCTCCCAAGCTCCTGGTTCCTAAGCTATGGGATTCTCCCCCACCTTCTTTGGGGACTGTGACCTATCACTGCAGTCATCTTCCATCCCATTACCTAACATTGCCTCTGTACTTCTTCCATGCAGTGGAGAAGCTGGTGTCAGCACCCTGACTGCTGGGGAATTCCTCTGCTGCTAGCTGACCTGCCAGAGTCACGGCCAGACTTCCAGCCTTGTAGCACCAATGGAAAGTCTGGACCCAAAAACACCATCCTCCAGTCTTCTCTTGTACCATGAACCCTGCTGAACCATCCCCATGACTCTTGACCTGCAAACCCATCACCCTTACCCTGTCACTCCAACTCTGATCTCCAGAATTCAGACCCTCTTTGCTTCCTTCCTCACCCAGACCCCAGGGTTAGCCATCCCACTGATCTTCTCATTGGCATCTTTCATTTCTCTCTCCCTTCATCTAGGTGCATTTGTTGTCCTTGGACCTACATCCTTAGACCTACCTGGCATGGGTTGAATTGTATTCCCTAAAAGAGGGATTTTGAAGCCCCAGTGCCTTAGAAGCTGACCTCAGTTGGAAAGATCTCTTGTTGAAGTAATAAAATTGAGAACACTAGAGTTAGTGCTAATCCGGCATGACTGGTATTCCTTAAATGGGGAAATGTGGGGACACAGAAGGAAGACATTATGAAGATACAGGCAACGGATGACCTTGTGACTGGAGGGGAGTGTCCACAAGCTAAGCGACATCAGGCTTGCCATCTAACACCAGAAGCTAAAAGCTTCTCCCCTAGAGTCTTCAGACAGAGCATTGTCCTATCGACTGTGATTTCTGACTTTTAGCCTCCAGAACTGTTGTTCTTTTAAGCCACCCAATTTTTTTGGTACTTTGCAGGGCCACCTGACCAGTAACTAATACAATGCCATTTGTTTTCTTTCTGTTTGCTTCAGACTTACTAAGTGTTGGTATACAAATGTATAATATTATGCTAAATTCATCTGCAATTTAACCATCGTTCCACTTATCGATAAATGACTCATTTTTACCTCAGTAGCTTTGCTACTCTGCCTGAGCCTGGGACCCTTGCCTTCAACTATGAGCAGGTAGGTATACCCTGCCTCCCACTTCATCAGGAAGATCTGGGCCTCATGACACAGCCTCAGTCTCTTTTTTTTTTAACAGTGCCAATCCCCACCATTTCTCTTCATTTAGGACTTGACTCCATACCTGCCTGCTTATTACAAAACAATGAAAAATTTTATTCCTATCTGGCATCCTCTCTACCCATTTCTTCTTTCAAGTCCACAGTCTGATTTAAAAACAAAACAAAACAAAAACATCCCTTAAAAAAAGTAAACTTTTTTCCTGTCATCAGTCAAACTGCTATCTCACTCTTTCCTGTGTCACTTTGAAAGGGTATGTATTCTTCCTGGCTAGTTGATTGTTCATTGGACCTTAAGAATTTGGCTTTCAGCTTTCCCTTCTGCTGCACAATGTCATCAACTATAATCTTTTTCCCCCTTTTAAAAGCTTTGCTTCCCAATGGGGCAGTGAGGCAGGAGGACCACAAGTTTGAGCCTCACCTAGGCAACTTAGCTATTTAGCAAGAACTTGTCTCAAAGGGTTTTTTGGGGGGGTTTTGTTTTGTTTCAAAGTTTGGTCTGAGGTTATAGCTCATTGAGAAGGCTATGGGTTTGACCCTCAGTACTGGGAAAGAAAAAAAAGCTCTACTCCATTGACCCTGCTGATGACCTCATGAGCTTGATGTCTGCCACACTTGTACTGTCTATTTGCTTACAGCATTTGGTTCATGTGTACTATGTGCAAGGCACCATATTAAAACCATACTGCACCATGCTATGGAGATAACGGAGCCGCACCACAGATCGTACCCTCAAATAACTTAGGTCCTAGTGAAGGGAAGAGGCTGGCACCTCTGTACCTGTCCGTGCATCGCTGAAAGGTGTCAGGCACAGCTGAAGGTGGGGATGGCTCACGGGAGAGCATTAATGAAACAAATTCCCTGCTCTGTCCTTTAGTCATGTAGGTCTGTCTTGAGCTGTCCTGGTGTAGAGATGGCCCTCTTCACAGAACCGTGTGCAGAGTGTATGTTCATGATGGAGCATTTTAAACTGAACTAAAATGAACAATTCAGACTAAACCAATTTGGGCCCACACCTGAAGTTACCTTGGCAAAAGAAAAAAAGTAAAAGGCGGAGGGGGTGGGGGGATTGTTAGGTACAAATATCTCACCCTCCCTGGGCTATGTGGCCTTGACACCAAACCTTACATTTTTTGCTTTCCTGCCTTCCACCTGATTGTGGATGTCAGATACGTGTGGAAGAAGGTTGTGGTGGATCTCATAAGTGGCCACAGGCCTTGAAAATAACAAAGCCCTTTTTTTCATTCTGACTGCTGATAGCCTGCTTTGACGGTCTTGGTGTCTTTGTCTTTGGATGTCTTCCCTGGAGATACTAGCCAGCCTTCTGTTTTTCCTCTTTGCTACAGCTGTATGATAATCTTCAGGAAACCTTATTGTAACCACTGCAGAAAAGGGAAAATAGGTCCTAGTATGGAGGAACAAAAAATTTAAAATTGAGTATAAAAAACATGTTTAGAAATTCACTGACTTGGGTCCTTCAGGAAGCAAGTGCTCAGTCACAGTCTGAGCAAAAGCAGGTTTGGGGGTCCTGACTGCAAAGGAGAAAAAGGGGTGGGGGTAGGATTGGCAGGAGGTGAAGACCCCCATCTGCCTTTGCTTGAGAATGGAGTTGCTCCAGGCCCATCCTCCTTCCTGCCAATGTCAGGAAGCCCAAAGTGGGGCCACCTTTCCTCCATGATCCCCAAGCAACCACTACACCTGGAGACTCGCATCCCTCCTGCCAGCACATTCCTGGTGACACTGATGAGTGGTGTGCTTCCTGGGCTCAAGGAGCACAGCATTCTACTAGTTCCCCTGGCTTTGTGTGATACATAACCCTCCACCTGCTTCCCTGAGACTTGCTCCTTTCCTCCATGGTCTGCAGGGTCAGGGCAGGTATTTCAGTTGTGCTCCATGGGCACCCCCCTCCCTGGGCTTCTATGAGCCATCACTGAAGCAAGTTTGCAACTCCACAAAGTGTTAAGCCACTGGTCCCATTTTATGGTGAGTGGTGCCAGACCTGAAGGTCCACAAAGATAGGTATTCAGTGTGCTTTGACAGGCATTACTGTGAGGGTACCCACGTATATTTCCTGAATGAATTATTTTCTTACGTTGAAAGTGTACAGTAAGCTATATAATTCCCAACAGAAATATTCAGACACTAGGAGCCATATGTACTAAAGTGAGGGTTTAATGCTAAAGAAAACCTCTGAATTTCAACAAATTGTATATGGGCCAAACGAAATCGGTATCACGTGGAAGGTTTGTGAGGGGAGGGCAGAATGAGAGGTATGTCAAAATTTTCTCTGCTTTGCCCGTATTCCACTTATCTACTTCAAAGGAGAAAATGAGGAAGTGATAAAGCTGGGATAACAAATCTCATGATTCCTCGGCCAATAATAAAAATTAATACTTATTGATCATTTATAGCTACATGATATGTTAATACATATTAAACTATTGCATTATCTTATTTAATCCATAAGAATGTAAGTGTCACTACAGCTGTATTGTACATATAAGAAAACAAGGTCTTAACTAATTAATCACCAGGGCCACCCTTAGCCCTCAGTGAATTGGAGAGCCAGGGCCAACCCCAGATCTGGCTTGTAGGTGCCCCTCCCAACTTGGCAGATTACTGGCCCCTAGGTTCCCCTAGGTTCCCCTAGGGCTGGACAGGAAACAGGAATCTGTATGCAAGTCCATAGTTGTCAGTGACCCTATCAAGACAGTTGAAGAAGGGAGAGATTATGGTTGGAAGGAAGGAAAGCCAGTGGAGGGGATGACTGAGTGTCCTCCGGGTTTGGAATCAAGGTAATGCTTTTTTCCAGGAATGACTTTGGTAGCATTCCTTCTCTTTCAATTTCATTAAAGTTTGAGGAGTATTGGCATTAGGTCTTCCCTAAAGTTCTTGTAGAGTTCAGTGGTGAATCTACTGAGTCCTGGGCTTTTCTTAGAGGATAGATTTTTTTACTACTGCCTTGACTTCATTGCCTATAACTGGATTACTTGGGGTTTTTATCTTCCTTTTTTAATTTTTATTTTTATTAATACAAGTTTTCAGTACATAATCAATTATTGTGGGGAGTTGGTACATATACGCATAACACATCTTTAATTCTTTTTATGTACCCCTTGCCCCTCCTCCCTCCTCTTGTTCCCTTTCCCATTTGCAAAAGATCTGTCTCACTGTTTCGGTGTACCAGTATTTGGTGCATACATATTTATAATTGTTATCTCTTCCTATTGAATTGTTTCCTTAACCAATATGTAGTGACCTTTGCCTCTTTTGATCAGTTTTGGCTTGAAATTCACTTTGTCTGAAAATAGG